GGGCGGCCCCTTCGGCTCTTTCGTGGCAGGGAGACAGGGTTCCGCGGTGTCCTTTGTCGACCCCGCCGTGTTGGGTAGGGCAGATCTGGACGGCGAAGAGCCTAGTTCGAGCTCCGGTAACTCCGCGCGCCTCCAGACGGTGGGACCGGGGAGAGTGAGAGCCGGTGATGGTGATGGTGATGGTGATGAGCGGAGGGAGGAAGGGAGTGCTGCAACTCTGGGGAAAACAAGTCAGCTCTGCCGTGGAGCTCGTGCACACTGTGGTTCAGAGGGCCTTTTGCGATGGTTCTGGCTCTAATCTCCGCAGTCCGGCCCCTCCTCATCCTACTGCCACATCCCCAGACACCTTTCACCCCAGGCTGTGCAAGTGTCTGCCCCGGGCTGGCCGGCCTCGCCCACGCTCGGCGCTGTGGACCTGGTGACTTACTGTCCGTTCTCTGCTGAAAAGCCCAGACAGCACCTTATCTTGGAGATCCCGCTTCCCTCGCAGCGAGACGCCCCCTCCCTCCAGCCGCTGGGCTCCAGTTCAGCCTTGCTGACGACTTGCTCTGCCTGGCACGCCGTTCCTCTCAAATATCACATCCCCTTTGAAGCCTCGCCCTCAAACCCTGTAAGAACGAATCCCTCTTTCACCCACATGCCCATTAAGCCTCTGTTTAGCGCATCTGAGAATTATATTTTCATCCCAGCCTAGTTCACTGCCTGGTATGCAACATAACTAATAAATGTGGGTTAACTAATAAGGGCTATAAAATGATAGATTTGTTAAGAGCCATAGTGCTGAGCATCGTGCCTGGCACGTAATGGATATCCATATTTTTTTGAATGAAAAAATAGATGAATCATCTTGTCCCACTCATCTTTTACAGATGAGGAAAGAGGAGCCCCACGGGACTAAGTGACCTTGTTTGAGCAGACACGGATTTCTTATGTCGAATGCTATTCATTCACTCGTCACCTAGGTTCTTACAAAGGAAGCTAGAAAATTGCTTTTGTTGAGCTATGCCCTTTTTGCAGAGGTTCCCAAACATAGTCGCCAGAAAATTTTAGTGGCCCAAAGTGAAAAAAAAATGCTAAGTTTTTCATGAAGCTAAATTTAATCAATTTAAAGGAATCCTTTATTAGGGATTGTGTTCTTTTTGTGCGTTACAGATAGTATGTAATAGGAGTTTGGGGCATTTAAAAATGCTCTTATTTGGCAAAATAAAAATGTATAATACCTCCTCTTTTAAGCACTATTATGTTGCTTGGATAATTTCCTACTAACGTGAATGACTAATGTATACTGGAATATTAAAGAGGTGGTCCACCCAAAACACAGAGCTGGCTTTCTGTAGGTCTTTAGGTCTCCTGCCCAAATTTCTCTCAGTTCCCTGACTAATCACGCCCCAAGGCACGTGTTAATGACCCATTTCTCCCTCACTACAAAAACAGATGCCATGCCATGAAAACTCGCCCTCTGAATCCAAACTGCTTATTTCTTTTTCAGTACAAAACATATATTCTCAAGGGTCCTCAGATAACCACCTCCAAGTCTAAACTCATTGGTTAGGCTCCTAATGT